ACACATAGCAACCCTGTATAGGGTTTCCAAGGAGCAGCTGGTAAGCTTGAACTGCCGACCTTGTGGCTCAAACTGATTTTGCAGTGCGGCACATTAACCCACAGTGCCGCACCAGGATTCCTGTGTTACATAGTAAGGCAAAAAAGGATAAGTATTTTATATAGTAAGACAAAAAATACACTAAATTGTGCTGTTCAGAAATCTTGTTTTAGAACAAAACCTTTTGTGTTAGTAAAAATAGATGAAGCCTTTTTTACTAAAATTAATCATTTTTTAAGTGAGAGCCATCACAAATAATGCTTTGTGATTTTGAAACTTTTGGTTCAATTCATGGTGATAAATTGCATGGTGTGTTTTCTAAAATTTTTCTAAAAGTTTAGTACCTAGTTTTGGTGGCTGTCCCAGGTGGAGAAGGCACTTCACAAAGATGTGTGTATTCATATGGAAGAATTATATTGTCAGCTCCACTTAGTAACTTGTAACTTACCTGCCGTCCATGTTCAGTGTTTGTTGCTGAAATTCAGCTAGTACATTTCCATTTTCTGTAACATAGCAGTGGTTCTTACAAACTCATCAGAGGGTGATGGTTTAGATTGTAAACAAATGGACTCAAGATCCATTGAAAATCTTCATTTGAAAGAGTTTTAAGCAGACCAGAAAATATTTCCAGTTTTTTTAAATGTGCAGATCTAAGAGGTTTTTTTCCAAGATACTGAATATCTTTTTTTTTTTTTAGTTTTTATTATGAGCTGAGTGATAGTTTACTTGGGAGAACATCAGCTTTACACCATCGTTTCATTGCAATGATTACAGTCTCCTCTGTTGCATCATCATTCAACAGTATTTGCTTCCATTCCGTGGTGGTGTTGTTGTTTTCGGGGGTGGTATGTAAATAGTAACATTCAGGAATATATAATAATTTAAACAACCAAAGGGCACATTCTGCAAGCCTGCCTCCTGGCTGTCAGCACCCAGTTCCTCTCTTTCCATGAGACCAGAGTCAGCTGCTCCCTCTCTCCATGTCTTCGTCTCTGCCTCCATCTCTGGTGTCACTGCTTCTTTGGATAAGGTCCCACATTCCGCTTGTGCTCTTGATGGTCCTAGGGTCCTCTGTTTCTGGACTGTAAGATTAACTACTCCCCTGTTTTTGTTAAAACTTCTCCCTTGACAGTTGTCATGATAACTAACAGCTACTCACTATTGAATCATAAGAATCTTATTCCCGTCTCTTTTCACTAGACCCGTCTAGACAAGATGAAAACTATTCAGTGGGGATTCTACCTTTCCCCACACACTCTAAACTCCCTCTTGAAACCTTGTAAGCCAGTCACTTGGTGCCTTTATCACCTCCTCAAATTGTAGTAATTTATACTAATTTTCTTTACCAAAAATGTTTTTTTTTAATCTGCCTCTAGTTGATTTCTGATTATCAAGCTACGTAGGCTAGGTCAGATGAGTACTATCTGAAAGTTTGGGTGTTCTTGTGCATCTCCCCTCATTTCATTCATATCAGCTGGATGCTTCACTCTCCGCGCTAGCCCTCTGTGGCTATTTCCTTGTCCATGGGCTCAGGTGTCACCAGGTCTCACCACACTTTGGACCAACCAGCCCTTCCTCCTCTCTCTCATCTCCAGGTCAACAGGAGTCTATGTCACGACGTTGAACTCAGCCCATTTCTTCATTGCTACCTTTCCCCCTCTTCCACTTACCAGTAGCCCAACATGGTCAGCAGCAAGCTTACATGCCAGCTTATGTGTTCCCTTTGAGCTTCAGTCTTGGATGGGGGTTTGTCCTGAAGGGACTTGGTTGCTTGCTTTGATGGCTCCTAATATCATTTTTGACAGTTAAAATGGTGTAACCTTAGGAACATTCCCAACATACATCTGTTGCCATGGTTGTTCTTTCCTCAGGCTTTTTTAAGCAGCTACTTTTTCATTCACTGGTGGACTTCTTGTTTGGTAACAGATGGCATTGTTTTTGCTTCTTGGTCTGCTTGCATAAGACTGTATTGCGGAAGCTGAAAGCATCGGCTGGGCCATTTTTTGTCTTTCACTGGGCTTTGCATCGTAGCATTTCATCTGTCATCTCTCTGCACCAGTCTTTTAGGCCACTTGTCTCTTTTGTGACGTTGAGATTAAAGTGCCATCAAAAAATCCATTGCCCCACATAACTGGTCTCAGATACACTGTGATACATGACAGTACCTAAAAGTTACTGATGAGGGGACTTCTGGTAAGGTGGCAGACTAGGCAGAAGAACCACACTACAACAAAGATAGCGGGAGACCAGTAAAACAGGCACAGATGGAAATTCTAGCAACCTGAACTTCAAAAGAAGGGTTACAGAGGTAGATGGAGTGCTTGCTGGAAGGTGAGGTACCATCAAAGGATCAACAGCAAGAACACAATAAAAACTTTAGAAGAATTCAGGAAAACAATACAAGAACAAACAGACAAATATAAATTTTGAAGCAATACAAAACCTGTAATTAGAAATCCAGAAGATTAATACTAAGACCTTAGAAATGGACAATACATTGAAAGGGCAAAGAAGTAGATGTGAAGCAATGGATGCCCAAATGAGTGAGCTTGAAAATAAATCTCCCAGAACTAGTATGCTAGACAAACAATCAGAAAAAAGAATGAACACATCCAAAAAAGCATAAGAGTTCTGTGGGACACCATGAAGAGGAGCAACATATGGATGATCAGAATTCCAGACCAGAAAGAGATGAGCACAGAGAAAACTGTCCAAGAGTTATTGGAAGAAAACTTCCCTAACATCATGAAAGATGAGAAGATAAACATACAGGAAGCTGAACAAACCCCAAACAGGATAGATCCCAAAATAAAATCACCAAGATATACTAAACTTTCCAAAATTAAAGACAAGGAAAGAATCCTGAGAGCAGCTCGAGAAAAATGAAAAGTTACCTACAAAAGGACAACCAATAAGACTAAGGTCAGATTTCTCAATAGAAACCACGCAGGCAAGAAGGCAATGGAATGACACATACAAATCTCTAAAGGGAAATAACAGTTGCCAACCAAGAGTCATACACCCAGCAGAGCTGTCCCTCAAATATAATGGTGAAATTAGGACATTTCCTGATAAGAGAAATTAAACGAATTTGTAATGACCCAGGCCAACTCTACAAAAAATGCTAAAAGGGTGTTCTTTGGACTGAGAACCAACAAAAGCAGACAACAACCTGAGATTTTCATACAGACACCACCACCCAGAACTCAGTCGAGATATAGAAGGATTAACAGTAAAACAAATCTACAAGACAGAAAAATAGGGAACCAGAGATAGCAATGTATAGTGAAGTCAACTACAGAACAAAAAGAGGGAATAGTGTAGATACAGAACTTCAAAATGGCAAGCAAGTTAAGCAGATTTCAACATAAAATAGACTGTTATAAATCTGGGGGGGGAAATTGATAAATTACAGGATAACCAACAAATAGGGTACCTGCACATCATAATAAAAAAGTAAAATCAGAAAGATTTAGTGAACATTAACACAGCATGAATAAAAATGACAGGAACCCCACAAGCAAAATAAACTGAGTTTGGAAAATTACGTGGAACAGCAACACCATTTAAAAAGAAAAAAAGCCAAATGACAACAGCCAATTCATACCTATTGCTAATTACACTGAATGTAAATGGATTAAACGTACCATTCAAGAGCAGAAATGAGTAAAAGCAGAATGAATAAAAAACCTGGATCCTTCAGTATGCTGCCTACAAGAGACACATCAAAAAGATGGAGACAGCCTAAGGCCCATCAACAGAAGAATGGTTAAACAAACTTTGGTACATACACACAATGATTTGTTAGGACACAATGTTGAAGAGTAATGATGAGTGGGTGAAACTCCTCACACATGGAGGAAGCTGGAGGACAGTAGGCTGAGTGAAATTAGTCAATTACAAAAGGACAGATATTGTATGAGACCAATGCTGTAAAAAAAAATTTTTTTTAAGAAGGTTTTCTTGATAAAAGAAACAATCTATTAAGGTTACAGGGGTGGGAAGGGGAGCCATAGGCTAGAGGGTGGACACATGTTAACATGGTGATAGGGCAGGCAGAATGCAAGAGGAAGGTTAGTAGAGGAAAGATGAAGGTAGCGGGAGACATAGGGAAGAATGCAGTGGTTAAAGTGAATATAGGTAAATGCTGTGAACGGATGGTACATGGAGGAGGTTGCAAACATGTAATGAAGCGAAGTATATGATTTGTTGAATGTAAAACATGATCTGCCCTGTAAACATTCACTCAATTCACAATAAAAGTTTTTTTTAAAAGTTAACGATGTGGCAGGCTCCAGCTCTTCTCTCAGGATATAACATGATTGTTAAATCAAGTGAGGGAGGGTGTTGGTGCTTATTTGTACATTAAATACGGCTTGGTTTTTCATTTGCACTTCAACAATTGAAAGAAAAGCATCTTGAGATTTTCTTTCTGCATCCTCTGTGGACCATGTGTACATTGGGGACTGCAGCTTTATCCTTACCAAGGCACCCATGACACTCATCAAAACAGCAAGATGCTACATCAGCCAATCCTGGGGCTTCAAGTTTTGGCCTGAATGTTGACTCCTCTAGGTAGCCACCTGATCCTGAGCTTGTCACTTCAGTGTTAGGCGCCTCAGTTACAACATCCGTAAGTCTAACTGCTAGAATTGAGTGAGGATAAAATTGGAGCCTGGTGCCTGGCACACCATTATCACTCCATGTGCCCCTGGGTTGTAAGTAAGTACAGGATTTCATGACCTGCTGTTTACCTGGTGCTGAGGAACACTGGCTCTGGGCAGACACTCTGAGGATGGAGTTTGCCTGTTTGAGGTTCTGTTTGCAAATCTGAATATTTAAAGTGACAAAACGAGGCAGGACTGCTCACAATTCTCTTTCATTGAGAGGAGTTTTCGGTGAAGAGTTGACCACACAAGTGACTTTGTAGTAGAACTAATGAATTTGTTTTAATACTTCAGGAATACTGCTCAGAAACAGTTGCCATAAAGCATTTCCAAGGACTGAGGACGGCGGAGACCCTATTTGGATCAAGTCTGAATGATGACAGCAGACTCAAGGAAGGCCACAGGTCTGTCCCCCCAGGCTGCTCAGGAAAAGGATGGCATTGTAATAGTGAAGGTGGAAGAGGAAGATGAGGAAGACCACGTGTGGGGGCAGGATTCCAGCTTGCAGGAGACGCCACCTCCCGACCCAGAGATCTTCCGCCAGCGTTTTAGGCACTTCTGCTACCAAAACACTTTTGGGCCTCGAGAGGCTCTGAGTCGCCTTAAGGAACTTTGTCGTCAGTGGCTGCGACCAGAGGTAAACAGCAAGGAGCAGATCCTCGAGCTCCTGGTGCTCGAACAGTTCCTTTCCATTCTGCCCAAGGAGCTGCAGGTATGGCTGCAGGAATATCGGCCCGACAGCGGGGACGAGGCCGTTACCCTCCTGGAGGACTTGGAGCTTGATCTGTCAGGACAGCAGGTAGGAGGAGAGCGGCTTTCTGTGAAGGCTTACAGTTTACATTCAGCAAATCATCTCCTTTGGTTCACCTTTTACCCCACTTCTGCCTTGGGTTTCTTGTTTCCCTTCCTCCTCCTTTCTCAACCCTTCTGAACTTTGTCCTTGGGTAGACGCTACCCTTTGGGTCCCAAATGGTTGACGGTTTTATAGTGTGCATCCTTCACTAATGTTGTTGTAGTTAAGGGCCATTGAGTTGGTTCCAACCCTTTATAGGATTTCTCAGGCTGTAAATCTTTGTGGGAGCAGAAAACCTCATCTTTCTCCCTGGAGCGACTGGTACCAATCTTGTGGTACGCAGTCCACTGCTCATCCTACAGAACCACCACGCTCCCATCCCTGGTGTTGGGATCCCCCATGTACCCGTCTATTGCAGTTGTTGTTGAGCTCTGTCCACTCAGGACTGACTCATAGCAGTCCCATGTAGAATTTCTGAGGAGCAGCTGGTGGCTTTGAACCACAGACCTTGTAGTTAGCAGCCCGGTGCTGCTGCTTCAGCGCCACACCTGTCTGTCGATTGCTTGAAAGTTGAGCCACAAGGGTGAGTAGCCAAGGGTCTTGGGTCCCACCAGTCTGTATTTGACCAGTAAGCCTGGTCTTCTTGTGATTTTGAGGCTTTTGTCTCATGTTTTTACCCCCTCTTTCCAGGACCCTCTGATGTGATTCCTTTCAGAGCAGTTGGTAGTGATAGCTGGACACCATCTAGGTCTTCTGGTCCCAGGTCCTGGACACTGATGTTCGTGTGGTCATTTAGTCCACTGAGCTCATTATTGCCAAGTGTCTCCAGTTTTCATCACTCTTCTTTCCTCTTGGCAGGTAGACACTGATAGTTGTTCCTTAGATGCTGCTCATGAGGCTTTAGAACCCCAGTCAGTACTTACACAGTAAGCTGTAGACTAGTGTCTTTGTAGACTATGTTATGCCAAATGGCCACAGTGTCCCCCGGGGATGCAATGATTCCCTCCCTCTAAGTGTTTGATGAAGTCTAAGAAGGTTTCATAACTCTGTCCCTTGTATGTTCCACCACATTCTTGACTGTATTTGCAGCAAAGGTCGATGCCCATGTGTGAATATCCTCTGTGAAACCTTATTTATTTGTGGATCTCTTCTCACTCTCCCTCCCACACCTGCTGAGACTGCGTGTCCATCCATGAATCACCATTATTGCTGGAGTGTGTATGAAACAGTGCTTACCTTTGTTGCCTTTAACTCTTGCACTCTACGTCCATCCCTTCCCGTGCTTCTGTCATTCTTTGACCACCTTCCTTCTTGTTGTACATCTCCTTCCCCCTCACCCAAGTTAACCCGTGTCTGCCTTCTAGCAGTGAGCAGGGTGCGGACTCTGAGGCTGAGGCAAGGAGAAAGTGACTCATGTGGGTTCTTCCCCCTGCTCCCCTTACATATTAAAATGTATTCTGGCCATTGCTGCTCCCCTCTCACCTCCACCCCAGCCCCTAGCATTCACTGATATTTTTATGTTCTCTTCTTTAATATTGAATTTCTGTTTTGCAAAGTGATTTACTCAAAAGCCCAACTGCCTGTCCTTAGGTCCCAGGCCAAGTTCATGGGCCTGAGATGCTTTCAAGGGGGATGGTACCCCTGGATCCAGCACCGGAGTCCTCCAGCTTTGAGCTTCCCTCCGAGACCACCCAGTCACAGTTCAAGCATTCATCCCGGAAGCCCCGCCTCTTGCAGTCACGGGGTAAGGAGCAAGATTTCATTTCCAGGGAAAGAAGGTAGCTGTGTTGGTTGAAATGCTGTGTGTCTATGATGAAAAAGCATTATTATTGTACATGATGATTGTCCTGATTCTTGTTGTTGTTTTTGTTAAGTGACGTTGTGTTGGTTCTGACCCACAGCAGCCCTATGTTGGGTTTCCAAGGAGCAGCTGGTGAGTTTGAACCGCCGACCTTGCTCTTCAAACTGACCTTCAGTCAGTTGCTTATCTTGTAGCACCACACCCGGACTAAATACTCCTAAATACATGGGGAAAAGAAGACTTATAAACCAATCTCAGGAGTTAAATGATGTCACTAAAGAGGGAAATGGACATAATTTAATTCCTGAAGTTGGTCTATACTTCGTTCTCTAGTATTTAGGAATGTGGCACTTGTACGATAAGCACTGGACCACAAGGGCAGATTGAACCAAAAGGTCGGTGGTTCAAACTCACCAGCCGCTCCTCAGAATCCCTACACTGCGTTGCTATAGGTTGGAACCGACTCAGCGACACTTACCAACAACAAAGAGGGAAATGGAAGGTTGGATGGTGATGGTTATGTGGTGATGTGCCGTGGAGTCAGTTCCGACTCATAGCGACCCTGCGTAGGGTTTCTGAGGCTGTATATCTTTACAGATATAGAAGAAAGCCTCATCTTCCACAAACGACTAGTAGTTTCAAATTGCTGACCCTGAGGTTAGTAGCCCGATTTGTAACCACTACGCCACCATAGCTCCTTAATGACATTGGATAGACAACGCATTATTTGAATTGTTGTCGTTGTTCAGTGCTGTCAGTTCTGACCCACAGCGACCCTGTTTAGGATTTCCAAGGAGCAGCTGGTGAGCTTAAACCACCAACCTTGCAGTTCAAATGACTTTGCAGTCTGACACATTAGCTTTCTAGGTATCTAGCAGAATTTTAACAGGAAAGTATTGGGAAGAGATAGTATATTACTTCCAGCCTGGGTTTCAGAACATTCTAGCATGGTATAAATTATCTGTAAAAGGATTATAAATCTTTAAAGTCCATCTTATTTTCAAAAAAATTTTTTAATTTTACATAACATCACTCTTTTGAAGATTTTGTTTTGTTTGGTTTTGTTTTTTAAAGAGTCCAGGAAGTCAAACAATTAGAAAGGATGAAAAAAGTTGTTTGTTTTTGGATGACCAAAAAAATCAATTTAGGGTTATATAAGTAATGATCAGTTTAATTTTTTTATTTTGAGAAAAATATATCTTTATCCAATTTTAAAATCAAAGTAGGTGTCTAGAATGATGGTAAAAATAATCAAATAAAAGAAGTAGAGTTTAATCCAGGAGAGTCAGTAAAGGTGTGATGACATTTAGGATAGGAATATTACAGAAACCACAGCTCTAAGGGGACGATCTCTCTGTATTCCTGAGGAGAGCAGCAGTACGTACTGGAAACCAACGTGCTGTGTGTAACTGCCCCACTGTTAGTACCCATTACTCTGCTAGGGAATCAGAGTTCTCTACAGTTCAAAAGCAAAAGTCAAAAAGGGTCAAGTCAGGAAGCTGGAGGGAGATATTCATGATGGTCCTAAGTGGTGCTGTAGGATAAGCACTGAGCCACAAATTTTGTTTGAACTGTAAGGCAGTTCAGATCCATCAGCCGCTCCTCAGAAACCCCGTACAGGGTCACAACTGACTCAAAGGCACTAAACCAAGTGCCAGATTAGTGGAGTCCTGGTGTGGTGCTGTAAGATAAGCTCTGGACTGCTAACCCCCAAATTGGTGCTTCAAACCCACCAGCCGTTCATTGGAAACCCTACATAGAGTCGCTGTAAGCTGGAACCATTTCAACAGCACATAACAACAAGTGTCAGATTAAAGCTTTAGGAGGTCAGAACTACCGTTTAGAGACCCTGGTACATATGATTGTCATTCAGTAAAAAGTTCTTACGAGTCCTGGTGGGGCACTGTCAGATAACACTGCATTGCTAACCACAAGGCCAGTGGTTCAAGCCCACCAGCCGTTCCTCAGAAACCCTGTACCAGGGTCTCTGTAAGTGGGAGCAGACTCAATAGCAAGCAAGTCGTTGTTGAGTGAATTGAAGCCTAGGTATTTATTCTCAGTCTCGTTTTGTCCTAGTCACCTTCCAGTGTGTTTCCTCTCACTTAGAAGGCTAAAGTGTTAGATATTCAAACTTTCTGTACATTTACCGTTTAAAATAGTTACAGGGGTTGTTGATTCAGTTTCAAATTTATTTCTCTTATATCTTCACAGTTCAGCCACTTCATCTGTTTAACAATACCATTTCCAAATCTCATGTCATTTGAGATGGTGGTGGGCTTTAATTTTACAGTTTAAAAAATGTTTAATTCTTCCTATATATGCAGTTAGTGTGATCATGGATTATAGACGTATTTATTATTTTTATGTGTGTGTGTGTGTGACTCCATATCTTTACACACTTGTAAATGTCTCATCAGCATTTGAACTTCATGTACATTTAAAAAAAAAATTTTTAATGTTTTATTGTGAATTATGTGATAGTTTACATGGGAGAACATTAGTTTTACATTCATCCTATAGTATATCATTTCATTGCCATGGTTACAATCCCTTCCATGCATCATAAACCAACCTAAGGATATACCCTACAAGCCTGCCCCCCGGTCTTCAGCACACAGCCCCTCTCCCTCTCTGTGTCTAAAGTCCCCAACTGCTCCATCTCTCCTCATCATCGTCTCTGCCTCCATTTCAGGCATCACTGCTTCTCTGGGTAGGGTCCCGCTCTCTGCTCTTCTCCCTTGATGGTCCTAGGGACCTCTGCTCCTAGACTGAAAAGTTAATCACTCCCCTCCTTGCTAAAATGTCTACCTTTACATTTCCAACCCTCACAATCAGTCCTGATAACAATTATTCACTGTTGTATCACAAGAGACCTATCCGCATTTCCTTTCATCAGCCCCGCCTAGACAGATTGAATACTACTCAGTGGAGATTCTGCCTTCCTCCACGCCCTCTGGATCTAAGTTCCCTCTTGAAAGCTTATGAGCCAGTCACTTCTTGCCTTTGTAGCCCCCCACCCCCCCCTTTTGGGTAGCCAATGTCCAAGTTGCCCATCCCTGTCTACTCTGTGTATGGAGGGGGTGGGAATGATCCTTGCTGTAAAGATTTGTTACCTCTTTTGAGCTGCTGCTTCATAGGTGTAGATCAAGTTCATCAAATTATATCAGATGATTTTTATCCCTCTTCTTTCTTCTTCTAGTTGAGCTCTGATCATCCAGTCATTGAAGCCAGGTCAAGTGGGTATTATCTGCAAGTGTGTGTGTTCTTGTGCTTATGCCCTCTTTTCTTATCAGCTCGACGCTTCACTCTCCACTCTAGTCCTCTGTGGCTATGTTACTGACTCTGGGCCCAAAAGTCCCCAGGTCTTGCCACACTGCTGGCCAACCAGGTCTCCACCCAGGTTCACAAATCTATTGAACGTTGTAGGGCTTAGCTCGCAGTTTCATTGCTGTTTTTCCCTCACTTCCCCTTATCTGTGACGAACGTGATCACCAATCTGAGCATGTATTCCCATTGAGTCTTAGTCTTGGAAGGGTGTACATTTAATTTTAAAACTGTCTATTGTGGTCAGTTTTTTTAAATTAAATGTACATGTGGTTCAAATGCTGGTGAGACATTTACAAGCCCTAGTAGCATAGTGGTTACGAAACGGGCTGCTAACCTGAAGGTTGGGAGTTCGAAAGTAGCAGCAGTTCCGTAAAGATTTACAGCCTGGAAAACCCTGTGCAGGGTCACTATGAGTCGGAACCGACTGCACGGTACTTACCAACAACAGAAGGTTCAGAGTGACACTCCAATAGTATGTATAATCCATGATCACACTAACTGCATATGTAGGAAAAATTAGAAAACTTTCAAACTGTAAAATCAAGGAGTCCTGCTGTGGCGCTGTGGGTTAATACCCCAGACTGCAAAGCTGTGTAAACTTCAAGGTTGGTGGTTCAAGCTCACCAGCTGCTCCTCGGAAACCCTGTACAGGGTAGCTATGGGTTGGATCCAACTTGATGGCACTTAACAACAACAACAACATTGTGGTCAAATGAGAAGAAAGTAGAGGGATGAAAAATATCAAAACTTCACCCAGCTGTCAGAAGGCCCCCTCCCTACGTGCCTTTCAAGATGTTACTAAAGATTTTTAAAGCTGTGTTGCAATTTCCAGTGGTGCTTTAGATCAGCACTGGACTGCAAACCACAAGGTCGGCGGTTCAAACCCACCGTCTGCTTCTCGGAAATCCTATGCAGGGTCGCTATGGGTTGGAACCAACTTGATGTCATTAACAACACTAGGCATGAATGGGCTTCTGGTTCCTGATATTGTTACTTGGCTTAGAGCAAAATTACGAGCCAGGGTTGGATCCCAGTCAGGTAGCAGATCTCGTGTCTAATGGAGGAAGGAATCTGGGCCCCAGCGTTGACTCTCCTGCTCTTAACTCTGTGACTGGTGCCGTTAAGTGCTACTGAGTTAGTGACAACTCCCAGCCCTGGATAGGGTTTCCAAGAAGTGGCTGGTGGGTTTGAACTGCTGACTTTGCAGTTAGCAGTCATTGCTTACCCTACACCAGTACTTACCCTCTCAGGGCTTTTTTCCTCTACTTGAAAGCAAAGTGATTGGACTAGATAATTTTAAGAACGCTTTTTATGGTTCTTTGGGACTCCTGCTGAGTTTGATGAGAAGCCTTTGGAAAGCCGAGATCGTACAGTCATTTGTCCACTCTCTGTAGTTGTTCTGTAACGGACGGAGCATGCTAGTGCAGGACAGGCCTCAACAGAGCTGCGTTTACCAACAGCTGCTTTCTCCTCCTCCCTCAGCTCTCCCTGCGTCCCAAGGCCCGGCCCCTCGTCCTGATGGGCGTCCCAGAGAGCAGGCCGTGGCATCTGCCCTGTTCACAGCAGATTCCCAGGTGAGCTATGGGCCCCTCATCTTTGAGTCCTTCATGTGTGCCTCTCCTCCAGGAGCTCTTTTATCTTCTCTACCCAGGCCTCTCTCTCTGGATACTCCTGGGCACAGAGGAGTCCTACAACCCAGTCTCCATTTCCTGTCTTTCCACTGCAAAACCCAGTTCACCAGAGCCTCTTATGTCACATTGTCTGTCCCAGAAGCCAGTAGGTTTGCAGACAGCGCTCCCTGACTCCAGGTTTGGGCAATGGGACTGTCCCCTGAGCTTTGGGGAAACGGAGTGTGGGGTCTTCTATTGTTTCAGGCAATGGTGAAGATCGAGGACATGGCCGTGTCCCTCATCCTGGAGGAATGGGGATGTCAGAACCTGGCTCGGAGGAATCTCAGTAGGGACACCAGGCAGGAGATGTATGGGAACATGCTTTCCCAGGGTAAGACTGATGCAGGATTGTTGTTATAAGATGTCTTTGCCTCTTTGTTATTGTGGGATCTTTGATGAACTCAGTTGAGTGTAGACAAGGATTTAAAGAATTCAGGTCTCCTTCATTTGGACGCAGTTGAGAGTGAGAACATTTCTGTTTATTTTACCCCAGAAGCATGATATTATGGCTCCTTGGTTCATAGTGATTTTAAAATAACAAAACGAAAACCTTTAGAAAGTTTTTGCTCTTTGAAATGAGACTTTGAGTTCTCACCTTTTTAACCATGTTATTACCTGTAAAGATTCTCTGCTCCCTGTGGCTACTAACAGATATCCCCAGCTGAAGGAGTACTTGCTTCCTAGTGGAGAGGGCCGGGTGATCTGATGCCAGCCTGTTGCCCTGGCGTATACCCAGACCTGCCAAGCTCCCTGTCCTGGACTGTGTGTGCTCCCAGACTGTGTGAGCAGTACTCATAGATAGCTTTGTGTAACTCTTATGATCAGAATTCCCAGTTTCCAGCCCTAATTGTGAGCTTCTATGAAGAGCTCTGGAGTCCTGGTGTGGTGCTATAGGATAAGCACTAAACCATAGGTTGGCAGTTCAAATTCACCAACCGCTCCTTGGAAACCCTATACGGGGTCAATAGGAGTCAGACTGACTTGTAGGCAGTTAACAGCAGTAACAGTGAAGAGCTGTGGATCCTGGATCCTGTAAGAAAGGAACATCCAGATGATACAGAGTGACGCCGTGGAGTTTCTCTCCTGCTATGTATATGTCCCAGTCAGGGCACTGTCCGTGTACCAGGCAGCAACAGTGAGAGAATTTATTTTGGGACATTCTCATTTGTCTCTGCTACACCGTATCCCCTAAGAGAGTGCTACAAAGACTCCTTCAAATAAAGACAGTTATACTAAAGAAATGTCAAGTTGTGTTTGGAGCCATGATATAAATGAGATTTATCATTTCTTAGTATTTGCTCTTTGAACTAGATAGAATTAAGCCAAAGACGCTGACCCTGGTTTATGAGGCACAGGTGTTACCCACATGGGGAGAAATCTGTGAACTCTCCAGAGAGTTCAGGACTTTGGCTTGGAATCCAGAAGAAAGGAACTGGTTTCCTCTCCTTTACAACTGTTAAAGTGTTTATGATGATTTCATCACTAAAGCTAGGGGGTGGGTCCAGGGTAGTGCAGACGCAGAAAGCTTCCTGAAGGCTAAGCAGAGAATGGAGTTGGGGCACTTCAATTTTTCTAGATAAATGTAGCATACATAACTGGTATATGTTTATGGGCAATTTTCAGTTTCCATAAAAGTGACATACCATATGTGGTGGTGGCGGTGTGCTGTGGAGTCAGTTCCAACTCGTAGGGACCCTGCATAGGGTTTCTGAGGCTGTAAATCTTACCGGAGCAGAAAGCCTCATCTTTCTCCCACGGAACAGCTGGTAGTTTCGAACGGCTAACCTTGAGGTGTGCAGCCCGACCCATAACTACTACGCTACCAGAGCACAACTGTGTACAAAAATCAATAAATTCCCGTGTTTTCGTGTACCGATTGCTAAAATGAGAGGCTAACGCTCTATCTTTGTTGCGTTTCTGTTATGTTATCTCATCATGTTGACTCAGTTGTTTCCAGTTTATGTTCTGGTCTCTCTCCACAGTTGTCTGTCAGTGAAGGCTTTAATTATGTTTACTAATGCAAGGAGCCTTGGTCGCACAGTGAGTGAGCACTCAGTTACTATCTGAAAGCTTGGTGATTCAAACCCACCAGCCACTCCAAGGGAGAAAGATGGCGGCCGTCTGTTTGTGTAAAGATGATAGCCGTGGAAACGCAGTGGGGCAGCTCTACTCTGTCTTACAGCGTAACTGTGAGATCGACTCCATGGCAACACGTTTTATTTATTTGGTTCTTGGTTCATGCCCCAGTCAACGTCTTCACTCCATATCTGTTACTTGAATAATGTGAGCTCTGTACTGCTCTCCCTGACAGAAACTATTTCCAGTTTTTGAAGGTCTCTGAATCTTGCCCAAGTTCAGAGCTCCTTATTTTACCGTGCTGAGGAAAATCTCACAGAACTAAAGGAGTATTCTCTTTGTCTTTATTAATTGCATTTCTTTCTTGGAAAAACCTGTCCATTCTTTCTTTTTTTTAACTTCTAAATGCTTATATTAGAAACGGAACATGATTTTTTAAATGTATGTCTGTTATTTTCCTATTAATGAACAAGATAAGCAAATCATAGACTTGTGACTTCATGGTTTCTTAATTCCTCATCCTTTCCTTACTTAACTGGTTCTGGTCCTTCTGCTTGTTGCCCGTGTATCTGTGTCTTCCCATGTGCTCTCTCGGTCCGCTCGTTATTTCCCTTTCCACCCTGTTCCTGTCCTCTCGTTTCTCAGCTCTTCGCCCTGTTCTCCTTATTTCTTCCCCCCCCCCCTTTATCCCCAGTTAATATTATTAAGTCATTTTGCAGCCATGTAGATGCTTCCTCGAAAGCCATGTCACTTGATTAACTAATATATTCTAAAGAAAAAGATGCTATTTGTATTTTCTATTTATCGTGTCAGGTTGTGGAAACAGAAATGAGAATGAGGAGTCATCCTCAAAGACCAAAATTGGAGAAGACTCAGCATCACATGGGGAAACAACAGGAAGATTCCAGAAAGTGTTTGGAGAAAAACGTGAACAGCAGAGCAGAATAACAGAAAGGCAGCAGAGAAACTCTGAGGAGAAAATTGGAAGAGAGAGAGATTCCGGGCCAGCTCCAGTTAAGGGGAAAAAACCCACCACCGGAGAGAGGGGCCCAAGAGAGAAGGGTAAAGGACTGGGAAGAAGCTTCAGTCTGAGTTCAAACTTTAATACCCCTGAAGAAATTCCCACAGGAGCAAAGTCTCATAGATGTGATGAATGCGGCAAATGCTTCACAAGGAGTTCAAGCCTTATTCGCCATAAAATAATCCACACTGGAGAAAAGCCCTACGAATGTAATGAATGTGGGAAAGCCTTCAGTCTCAACTCCAACCTTGTCCTGCATCAGAGAATCCACACAGGAGAGAAACCTCATGAATGTAATGAGTGTGGCAAAGCCTTCAGTCATAGCTCAAATCTCATTCTACATCAAAGGATTCACTCGGGAGAGAAACCTTATGAATGTAATGAATGCGGGAAGGCCTTCAGCCAGAGCTCAGACCTTACTAAACATCAGAGGATCCACACCGGGGAAAAACCCTATGAATGTAGTGAATGTGGGAAAGCCTTCAACCGAAACTCATACCTTATTTTGCATCGGAGAATTCATACCAGAGAAAAACCTTATAAGTGCACTAAGTGTGGCAAGGCCTTCACCCGGAGCTCAACCCTCACTCTGCACCACAGAATTCATACCAGAGAGCGAGCCTCGGATTACACCCCAGCTTCCCTGGATGCATTTGGAGCATTCCTGAAAAGTTGTGTGTAAACGAAGAGTTTGTCCACAGGCCATTTCCTCCTTTGGTTTCTAAAATTACTTCAGAGATGTATGCCCATTAAGGAAACAAAAAAACAGCCTGAACCAATTTTTTAAACCACAAGAATATCACACATGAGGATCCTTGTAGTTACTGCATCAGCAGTGTTCTGCCTTCGTGTAGAGTCTGTGGGCCTAGAATTCTTCCGCACTGCCCCTGCAGGGAAACCTAGTCGTACAGCTGGTCCACATCATATTTCCATGCTAGATAAAAGTTTACGCTCAGTAAAACGCCAAGCCTTTCAGTCATGAGGTTACCTTTAAAGGCACCACAACCACAGCAGATACGGTGAAAGTCATTAGGATTGGCTCTGCGCAAGTGTTAATGAGGCTGAGAAGCTGCTTGCTGCAAGTGAGTCCTACCTGGCCAACAGCTTTCTCTAAAAGAGATTGTTTAAAAAACTTACATTGGGACATGCTGCTCACACTAGTTATAGATACAGGAAGTTATATGTATAATCACTGGTAGCCTACCAAAGCTATAGAAATCTAGGACTGTGTTGATCAGTATCAAACCAAAGATTTCTATCTCATCCGGAAAGGGAGGAGGCGGGGGTGTTGGGTATGTGCACCAGTCTACAGTTCCAAAGGACTCAACACATGTAGATGGTTCTAGCCTCATCACTGAGGCAAATTCTACTGGAATGGGAACAGCAATTCAAAAGGAAAACAGAATTTCCCTCCTTGAAATCCCTAAAGCACTATAGCACTCCTAAATGCATTTCTTCACAATTTAGCACTTGTGTACTGTCTTTTAATCCTAATTGGTTCATTATGTAAGTTTCTGTCAACCCCAAAAGAGATGCTTCAGTAATCACAGGATACACTAGTATCCTTCACAGCACTGAACGCATAAGAAACACTTGTGTGACTGACTTCTAACAGAGCCTTTGCATTTATGATAAGTTCTGGGAATCATGAGCTGAAAGACAGCACCTGGCCCAACTTTGGAAGCGGCTCCCTTCAGTCCCCTGAAGCATGCTAAATCTCTAGGATCTAATACTATTTGGTTAGCTGCCTGCATAGGCTCTTTCTAATCATGAATCAGTGAGTAAACGCCACAAGATGGTAAAAAGGACTCCGTGTCATCATCTTCAGAGAATTATAAACATTGGTTACGACGACATCTTTCCATGGCAGAAATTTTAGCCAGAATTCGCTTCAGTCAACAGCTGAACAACATGATGATTTGAGCACTTTCTGAAATGTATAGATAATATCATTCAGAAGATACAATTTTTGTTGGTTTTTAGGAAAGGGAAAATTGTAGGCAACATTGCCCCCCACCCACCCACCCATCCACACACACACACTTTTCTAGAAACTTTGAAAAAGTGACATCATTACTTGGCAATGACTCTATGAAGTTCACCATAACGAGATATGGTTGGTTGTATCATAGTCATAATGCATAGTGTCTCTTCGATTTTTCATCACTAAAGACTATAACAAGAATCTTTCTATAATCTGAGCAGGAGCATGCAGCTGGCTGCCTAGAAGCTAATGATGGAAACTTGCAACATACACAGGAGACCAAGTACCATGGACCATCCCGCAAGCCCTCAAGCCTGGTATAGGGATAACTCTGCTCATGACCACAAGCACATGATTATGGAGATCCCTGCAGAAACTTAGAAACCTAGATTAGTAACAACCTGAAGACGATCATGACCCCAAAAACCATAGAACCCCACATGTAATCTGAGATTATCCCTCAAAAAATAGCTAAGACTCACTCATCAGTTGTTCACTGACCAACAACTAAGAAGTCCGTGAGGCATCATGGCTTCAGCATGTAGCTGGATTCAGTGAGATGAATTCATGTGTGGTCTCAGCCTTCAGACCGACTGGAATGCTGCACTGCAGTCATTCTTTGGTCCCTCTTTGGCTTTTATAAATAGAACAAACCACCACTTCCCCTATAGCTGCCAAGCTGTTCATCAGTGTTGCCTGGAAAACTTCAAGTAGTAATAAGTCAGCTGGTTACCAAAATATTTCTGTCCATCCAATTTAACAAAAACAGAAGCGATACTCCAACAGAGTACAGCTGAGTGACTTTCTAGTGCAGTGGAAGTAGAAGGGTGTTCTCAGAGGAGAAAGCCATAGTGATGGGTGCTTACAGCACTGCTGTTACTGAGCCAGGCCTGGCCTGTGAGGAGGCAATGGAAGAGCAGGATGCACATGGGAGCTCCAGGGACCCAGCGAGCTCCGTCACCCCTTTGTTCTTACTCAGTCCCACAATTGGCCTTTTCTTTTCAGCCACAGCTACATGCTGACATAATTCATCCATCTGTATACGGTTTTAATGAAAGCTAGTGAAATACAACCAGTGCCTCCCCACGTCCAATTCCTGTTTTATTGTGATGTCGTCCTGACTGTGTGGGGTAGCCACTGGGGTTCAGATCTTCAGCCGCTGCACTCCCTGAAGAAGCTGCTTGAAGATGTATCAAGAAATCTCAGGCTGCAATTGCTTATTAAAACCATTTGCATTGCACTTATTATCAAATGCTTGGTGCAAAATGCCTTTGTACCATGATCAACAAGACTGGCAACTTGGCCTCATTAGTGCTCGGGATAATCATTCCAAAAAAAGTCTGTTAACAGTTTATAGTTATTCATCAATACAGTACTTGATTTAAGAGAAGGATTTGAAAAGTAAACCCCAACCTTGCCAGGAAGAGACATAATATTCGTCAGGTAGTGGGGTACTTAACTTGTGTCTCCTCCAGCCACACAGACACAGCTAGTGCCTGGGAATACAGATGTATGAGGCATCTTGGTATGTAAGGCACTTAATATTTTATTAAAGGCTTAACAGTGAAACTGCTAAATATGTGCAGAGATAGTGACATGTTTGATACGTGGAACAGTTCACACCTTACATACACACCTGAGAATTCATTACAGAAAGGGACCTCTTAAATGTAATCAGTGCGGCCAAGCCTTTAATCACACTTCAATCCTGGGCATCAGAGAGCTGACATTGTAAATAAACTTTATGGATGTGATGTGTGAGGAAAATGTTCGTGGACAGCACTCATTGCATTGGACAAAATGAATTTCATCCATTGATTCTAATCATGTAATGAGTTTCAGACACACTGCAGAGGGGGCTCAATCTTGACAATCCCAGAGGACCCACAGAAGAGAAAAATCCGGGGAAATGGCGAAACGTGCGACTTCTGGCAAAAATTGTTCATGTTGGGTACTTTCTGTACATGTTGTATGGTCATAATGTCATTGTCTGTGTTTTAGACCTCCAACTTGTGTTGCTGTTGCGTGAAATCCCTGTAAACAGGTTACATCTTTAAAATCTATTGACAGAACTCCAAAAGAGTGAGCAGTGAAGAAACAGGTGGTGTGTTCACAGTCAGTTCACAGACGCTGCGTAAGTGGGCTGCGAGGGGATGATAAATACTTCATGTATCGGTTCAGTCGGTGAGACAGGCAATAGAATGGGACAATTCCTGTTAACGTGTGCACCTCAGCTACCAGGAGCCAAGGAGAGGGGCTTAGCCACAAATTGAAACAAACGTGTATACTGGAACATCCAGTGGGAACGCTTGACCAGATTCTGCAACCTCTAGTCCTGCTTCCCCTCAGAAAATTGGAGATAGGAAAACACCCAGATGGGCTTTTTCCTGGAAGCTAAGCCCAGTTCCTGCATTTCAGGAAGCTTGCAGACAAAGGCATAAGAAGCAGCTTTGCACTTTTCCCTTTGGCTGTGCTCCTGTTTATTGTCCCCAGGTTTATGATTAGTAGGAGAATGAAGTGGCGAGGAGTCATAGTTATAAATTTTGTTATTTAATTTGTATCCAAGAGTCATTCCAGTGTCTAGTTGTTCTAATACTCATCCAAAGCAAATCAGGCTCAAGCTGCCGTATTCATAGGAGGCTCATTGTGTGAATTGGCATCATGTAGCGAAACAGTGCTGGCTGGCAGTACTTATCAAAGGAGCCCGATTGTTCAGAGTCCCATTCTGAGCAACTTCTCACAGTGTTTATGAGGGAGCTGGGGGTCCCCATTTAGGAAATTAAATGAAGGTCTGCAGATTGCTAAGTAAAATACAGTTGTCAGAAAAGGAAATTCAGAGAGAGCGTTACATAAAAGTAGACTTTCTTAATTTCACTTGTTAAGTGCCGTCAAGTTGGTGCCGACCCATAGTGACCCTGTACAGGGTTTCCTAGGCTGTAAATCTTTACGGGAGCAGAAAGCCTCATCTTTCTCCCATAATTTCACTTACTAATAGGGAAATCATATTAAAAACATTGAGAAGTTTAACTAAATTTCACTTTTAGAATGGGCACTACATTTAAAAGCAGTTTGAGTCGCTGTTCAGTTAATTTTTTTTGTTTTGTTTTATCTAAAAACAATGTTTCTTTTAAAGTTTTGTGAAACTTGAAGTTATAGGAAGGTAAGTTATCTCCAATTCTGCAGGTCAAACTAAAATTTGGGAAATATATCCCATAATACAGAATGTCTTACCCAAACTGTTTGGCTCTATTTCGTACTGGACACGCCAGTCTCAGACCTTTCTCTGTTGTTGTAAACACAGGGGCATTGGGTAGCCTAAACTATGGTCTTTGAGATTCTCACTGCTCTTTAAAGTTACATTTTCTCCCTTCACCAAGCACTCATTAAACTGAGACTGAGCATTTTAAGATCTAAAGTAAGATCTGTGGGTGATTGGAAAGAGCTATGGAAACTTGGATTTAATTCCAGTTTCAGATTTGAGTTTATGTTCCTTTAGTCCAGGGAGGGAACACCAGGTAGCTACAATAGCCCCAACACACATTAGGAGGGGAAGAGGAAGGAGGGTTGTGACAGGCTTATCCTGCAGCCTGATACTGTATTCATTGTTGGGGTTAGTGCTTTCTTGCTGCCCCCTTCACCTCAAGTCAGCTGACAGCATTCTGCTGCCCTTTAAGATTGTTATCTGCCCTAGTGAGGACAAAGCATGTTCGACTTAGAGATAGTGCTGCTGGTAGCAGGGGTTCCCATATGAAAACCAACACA